TAGCTAGAGTGAAACCTGGAATGTGTGTGCTATCTAGTTGTTGTTGCGTTTACCTATGTTCACTGAAGCATAATATTGTTAAGTATTGTAGGTTTTGTTCAAGTAATATTTCTACGTCTGTGTGCTTGTTTCTTAAAGACTGAAAATTTTGATGCAGAACATATAGATATTTGTTTTGGGGTGTTGTGGTCTTTCCTGTTGAGTGTAGTTGCTACAGGTCATCAGGAAAGCCCACAACACCCCCAAAAAATTATCTATGTACTGCATCAAAATGTTCAGTCTTTAAGAAATAAGCTCACAGAGTAAACAATAAAAACTAAAAATAAAACATACCAACCAAACACTAATGTTACACAAATTGCAAATTCCATATTTTTATATGAAACCACCCCCTCTGAAATTTTTAAAATCATTGGACAAATGAAGAATAAAAAGCTCTTTTTCACAGAAAAGTTTTGAGTTTTCGAAAAACTTTTATTGGATGTCGTTTAAAGCACTTTAACCCACAAATACAACACTGTTTACAAATTGCTGGAAATATGCATTATGCATGAGGCGTGAGAAATCTTTCAAAATATTATATAGGTGAAATTTTCAAAAAATCAAAAATCTCAAAATGAACTTTACATCATATTAAAGAGTGCAATTAGCACTATCCAGCCGCATTTGAGAAAATGGCGTTTGAGCATTTCTCAAAATGCGGAATTTCGAATTAGTTTTCCCACAAAATTTGGGATTTTTTTTCGAGAAACTTTATATGACATTTTTTAAAGCACATGTACTTACAAATATAATAACATGAATAAATGGCCGCTATTGTGAATATTGTAGCGAAAGACAAGTCAATAAAATTACCATTTTGTAATTGTTTAAAAATCAAAAGAATAGAACAAACTGATGTTTGTCTTCGCCCAGAGTACATTTAGTACAATTGCAAATAAAAGTTCAAAGAAAAAATTTAGAGCATTTTTTAGAAAAATCTTGATGTGTTTTAAAATTGCACATATTGCACACAATATTGCACGAAAACAACTAAAATTTGCGAAAACTGTACATGACCTTAACGAATGAACTCACTATGGAAAAGAAATTTTATTTGCAGGCAAAATCTCTATCTTCTTAATAATCTTAAATTTTGTATTTGTAGGAAGATGCCTGAAAAAAATTCAAAATTTTCATTAACCCTTCAAGTGGGACCTTTATAAGTGTTTTTTACTCCATTCTTACAAGACATTGATAATAAAAATTTTGAACCGTTTTTGAGATAATTTTGAAAATGTCCAGAGGACTTCATGTAAAGTACTCCCAAATTTTGAAGAAAGGTTTTCAAAATCGCAGCGCCTCGAGTGGAGGCAGATAGAATATCCATTTTGGTAAAAATCTTATGGGCTAGGCGCTAGTGGTGTTCACAGACTAACGGATGGACGTTTGAAGAAAAAATAAAAATACCTTTTCGGTATCAGGGAACCCTATAACGTTTATTTCCGTTGAAATCTCAAAATCAATTTGCCGCAGCATTGCATAACTTTCCCTACACAACGTATATACTTACAAAGTAAATTAAAAACGGAAACAAAATTATAGTTTTTTATTAATTAGTTAGTAATTTAGTTCACATCTACTGCACTTTTTTAAAATAATACTCTTAGTTGTAAATGACCAGTCCATAATTTTTGCTAATGAAAAATTTCTGTCAAGAAATGTGCTTGAACTCCACAAAAGACATTGTTGAGTAGCAAAACGAAATGAGTGTGGGTCTGCTTGCAGAACTTTTATCTGAGCCCCTTTATAACAGTGTAGTGCTCACACAAGTAGTCTTAGCACCTTAAATAATAAAGCATATCCTTTAACAAATTCATATTCATAAGTCTATGATTACTACATGAGAAATCAATGTCGCTAATTACCAACATACATAAGCTACCAAAGTGGGAAAAAATCATTCTTCTGGAAGATGCTGTTTTTAATTTTTTGTTGTATCAATGATTGCAAAGTATCAGAGAGTGTATCGAGTAATTAAATTAGTATTTCTTACAATCACAAAACCTTCACCCTAAAAAAGACACTCTTTTACATGGGCCCACCCAAATTATGGGCTTCAATGTTATGTCATTAGTTGTGAATCATCATTCATATTACTGAATTTGTTATTTTTGTTTACATATTAATTTAAAAAAAAAGAAATTGGAACTTTGTTGACAGCAATGAAACAGTTGATTAATTAAAATTTATCCAGTTTTATTGTTTCAAAATTAATTATAATGAAAACATTTCACAAACTTTAAAATTATACATGATTTTTTTAAATTATTGTAACATGTTTATTAAGACACTTATTTCAAATTTAAAATAGTATTCTAATACTGGATTGTATGTTAAATGTACAATTGTTAATTGGTGTGATAAATAAATAATGAAAAGACATTGCCCTCAGTGCAAAGTAATAGTTTTCATTACTACGATCGCCAGTGTCTGATTAAGGCATGGTTCATGGGGTACCTGGACCCCCATTTATTGAGGAGCCCCCAAGTATAGGTAAAAAATATGTTGTTTTTTTCTTATTATTTGAAGATTTTATACAATAAAGTTAAAACTGCTCATTTGTCAAGTTTGCTCATTTGTTAAATTGATTATCTATTATGGACATGGAGATACACATATGACACATTAAATTTAATTGCTTTTCACAATGTAATTAATGATTTCATGAATTTTAAAGCACAAAATGTGGCTTTGTGAAATGTATCATGTTTGTTATCAAGTAATTTATAATTCTTGTATTTAGGTATATATTTGCAAAATATTAGTTACAATAATTTGCTGCAAAAAAATCTCTTGTTATAAGCAAAATACTAGAAAATTTTATTCTGGTTAAATCATGTACAGGGCCCCAACCAACCCTGGCCCTTCAGAACTTAAAACCAGCACTGATGATCTCGCCACTATCCCACAAAATAGAATTAAATTCAGTAAAAGTCAAAGGAAACGAAAAGATGTCCTGAAGAAGAATATTAAAGCACTACAAAGTGATGATGTTGAAAAGTGGAAAATTGCAATGAAGGCTGATCTAAAAGACAATGAAATGTTGAAACTAGTTGATCTAACAACTGACAGTAAAGTTATTGATTATCAATAGTTTTGTTTTTTTTCTTTAAAGATGAATAGTAACAATCAAATCGATGGTTTTATAAAAAGTAAAGACTAGTGGAAAGAGAATTTACTCGAGTAACAAATTGCTTGGGCAAATATGGTTATATAGTCCAGTTCACCAATTGTATGATTTGAAACTATTAGGCCATTTCTTTGAATTATTTAATGAGAAGCAAATTCATGTGAAACTGCATTTCTTCATTGCATTCTTGAAGAAGATATTCATAGAAAACATCCTCAAGGCTTTAAAGATGGAACTAACAGAGAATGCAACTGTTTGTGCACATTAAAACAGGCTTGAAATCCAGGTTTCAATTGAATTCGGACTATGCAACATACAAGTTGCGCTGATCCATGTATGATACTCAGTGATTATTTAATCACTTTATTTCATGCAGAGAGGTTAATTCAGGTTTAAAACAATTTAATAGATAAGTCTTATTAACAAATTAGAAAGAATTTGACATTTCAAATCCATTTTGCAATATTTTTTATAGTATTTGCAATCCTAAATAGTAGCTACCTTCACAACTACTTAGAATTGCAAATACTGTTAAAGATTAAAAAAAATTATTTGAGCCAATTGAAAATGGATGAATATCTCAAGAATCATTATTGGCTGACAATTCTGATATCATTGATAAAACACTGACGAATTTAACCATTTTCCATTTTTAAACACATCTGTTTTGTACTGAAATCAATTCAAGACAAAATCTAAATTAAAAACAATCCATTAGATTTTCTTTCTAACACTAATCATGATTGCCTAGCAACCCTGTAGAAACTATATTTTTAAAACCCGTTTGTCCACATTTATAATAGATACTATTCCAAGGAAAGTACTATAAAAAGTGTTGAAAGTCTGAGTAAACTTAAAACCTAGATTCTCAGACCAATTGTATTTATGAATAGTAAACCTTTTTAGTATTGAAGATAAATACACCATAATTTTGACACCTTCAGATATGATGTTTAGGTATGAATTTATTCCTGAATTAAAATGTTCACAAATCCTAAAACTCATTCAATATTTTGAGGTGGAATACAGTTTTCAGAAGAAAAAAAATTTAAACAATTTGACATCTAATAATTTTACGCTCTTTGAAAAAACAACCATCTGAGAACAGGTGGGCTTCCATTAAGCGATTAACAATAAGAGACACTCCAATTGTTTGAAGCATATAAAATACATTTAGTACTTCCAATTTATTTTAGTGCCATATCAAATTTATGAACTGCTAGCATTCAAAGCTATTTAGAGACCCTATCCTTTTGCCTGCCAATACAACAAAAATGTCTCTACCCCAATGCACTATACCAAAAGGTACAGAGAAATTCACATGGGAATCAGTAATACCTACATGTTATAATTATATACAGGGGAGAGGACAGTGAACCAGTGGAAATAAAAAGAGCACGGGTAACTTCACATACGATTTATTGCAAATAATACAAAAATTTATAAAAATTACCTTCTATTGACACTTCCAGATCTTCAGAATTTAAGAAATAGAAGTTAACCAAATGAAAAGTACATTTTAAGATAGTATATTCTTGAGAATCAGAGCTCTTCTATTAGCAAACTTTTGCAAAAAGCAATTCAAACATCCACACTTCATAATACTACATTCAGTCTCGTGTCTCAAAGCGTTCTATGAATTTACTATTCAATTAGTAAGTCTTACAAAGCATACAAGTTGCAATATCAGTCTTTTACACTTTTCTACACACTACAAACACATGATCTACTTTTTTCAAAGGTATATATTTCAATGTTTGTGAAAACTGATACTTGTAAAGAATGATACACACCTAAAAATCTGAGTCCAAACTTTTAATGTTGCTCTTCACTTTTGGCTCACAGGAATCTCTTTGGGTTTTTCAGCAGGTTCGTAAGGCGCCTCAATTGTCAACACACCGTCGTTATTCAAGAAGGATTTCAACTCCCCAGACTTTATGTTCTCAGGTAAAGTAATTTCTCTCGATACTTCCTGATAGAACTTCCCGCCGTCTTCTGAACTTCTCTCCATTTTCGCCCGAATTGTGAGAACTTTATCCTTGACAGCCACATTGATTTCTTCAGGTTTGAAGCCATTGACGTCTATGTTGACTCGATACGGAACTGTCTCGTTCCCTTCCACAGGAATAAATCGAGGAGCGATGTTCCGGAGAGGAAATCTGTCCAGAAAATCTCTTTCAAATCTTTCCATTTCACGCATCAAAGACCGCATACTGGCGGAAGGCCGGAAATCCCAAAAATGTCTGATGGGAGCATCTCGAACTGACAGCTGGTATGCTGGCCGCAACGCCGGCATGATTTTGCGAGAAGCAGTACGTAGCATTTTGCAAAAGAAACTTAGTTTCGTTGAATACACACCACTTCAACCTCCACCAGCTTCAACTCGCGTGAACTTCTCCAGATGCTCTCTCGAACTAACTGATGCAAGAGGAAACACCGGTCTTTTTATATAGTGGCGTGTTACACGCGCATTTCATCAGCCGCGCTTCGAGGGGCCCGTAGAACATCGTAGAAAACGCCAGAATTAGACGGTGGTTTCCATTGGTTAATATAATTCTGTGAATTCGATTGGTTGGGTGTTAGTCAATTGTTCTCTCATCTTCTTGAATTCTGAATTGCATCATGCAATTTTTGCAAAGTATTCTGGAATAAAATGGTTATCATATTACAAATAAATCTATATTTTATAAATTTTCTATAATAAGTGTTTACATATTCTAAAGCACCTAAGATAGTGTACTTACTCGGAACAAATGACGATTGCCGTCAATTGTAGTGTAAACCTTTCTGTATACTTCGTGGTGTAAACCAACACCTAGATATACAGTATCAATATAGTATACAGTATATATACAGTATCTATATATAGTATCTAGGTGATGTTGTGTAAACAATAATTATTGACAGTCGCGGCTGTAACATCCGTGATAATTATAAACACATGTTACGGCGCTCGTCAGGAAGCATTTTTTATAGCTCGATTTATTACTCGGTGTTATTGGTCTGGAATATGTACTAATTTAAAGTACTGTATTTATATTTCATAGTTTTGGAATTGTGTAATTATATGCGCGAAATTTAATGAAAACTCATGTTTTCACCGATTTGTTTTGTGAATTGTATCTTCCAATGATTGTGAATTATGTTTGCTGATTAGTACACTGCGCGGAAATTGGTTAAAAATTGAAATTTTGAATTTGTAAAGAAATAGTGTGTTAGAATAATACAAGCTATTGTGAAGTCATTTTATGTTCTACATTACCTATTATTGAATATTCTGTAACCCATTCAATGTCGTCTACTCATTGTGGGCATCCTATTTATTTTTATTGAATAGTATGCTCTTACATTTATATCACGGTAAATAATAATAATAATAACAACAATAACAAAATATTGAGTCACACAATACAATTACAATTGTGTTTAACAAGTTAGATTGGTTGTACTACGTGATAACAATATAATGGAAATAGTGATTTGCAATGGCAATAGGAAAAAGAAGCATGTCAATGCAGTCCTAAGAGGACGAGAGTTTTGGCCAGGTTTTCTTTTGCTTCAAGTGTTATTGCAGCACCTGTAATGAGATTGTACAGGTTAGTCATTGAGGAATATCTGAACATTATAGAAAAGTTTCTGTAGGAAGGAAGGAATTGAGATTGTTCTGAAAGCTGTGTAATCTTGTAATGACTCTCAGATGTTTGATAATTGATTGAATTATCTTCCTGTTGGAAATTACTTTCTTAGTATAATGTGCCTGTTCACTATAGTTGGTGAAGGTTAAATGCTTGTCTTGATTTGTAAGCGTGTAAGCTTGAATTAAATTTGTAAGATGTGTTATTGTTAATTAGGTTCTTCTTTACAAACACGGGGGGCTTAGTAAAGGAATATATAACACAGTGGAAGTAGGTGTTTAGAATTGGAGTCTGTAGGAATCTGTACTTTTTGAATGTGTTACTGTCCGGATGAATCTCTTTTGTATTTTGAAGTTGTTGTTTTTTTTTTTTGCCTGTGGTGCTTGGATCCAAATTATTATTCCTTATTTGAGGATTGAGAACAACTGCAACATACACTGTTCAAACTGTTTCAGTGTTGCTGTTCCTTGTTATTATGCTAAGCGCATAATTGAGTTAGCTCAATTTTCAATTAATATCTTCTAGGTGTGAGTTCGATTTGAGATTGAATTGTAAGGTGATTCCAAGAAATTTGGTTTTCTGTGCTTGTCTAATGCTGTTGCCTTCTTGAATCAACTTTGATGAATATTATTGTTAAGTGAGATTTGTGGAAGGGCATTATTGTTTTTTAGTTTGTTTATGATTCGCTTGTTTGGGTAGATCTTTTAATTAGTTTGTCAATGCTGGGTTGGGTTTGCCTTTAGGCAAACCAGTCTGCAATGCCAGTAATTGTTTTCCATTTTTGTTTATGATTTGAAATATTCCCTTTTCTGTTGTTTCAGTGATGAACATACTTGAAGGGATATTTTTAAGGAGGGGAGGTGGTTGAGGTGTAATGTTTGGATTGTTTTTGTGTTTGAGGTATCATATATTTCAGAGAAAGTTTGTTTATTATATACCAGATCTTTCCTTACGACTTGTGATTCTTCTAAGTTCATAGGCTTGTTCAATATTTTCTGTTGTTTTGTCAATTGTTGATAAGGTCTTTTTTACTGTGGTCCACATAGCATCTGCTTTATTTTTGGAGTTTTTTATGTAGAACTTACCATTTTACATTCGTTTGGCTTTTATTATTATTGTTATTACAGTATTTATTGATACCATCTTTCAAAGCTTGCCAATATTAACCTTCAAAAACCATGGTATAAAAAATGTAGAATTTGTTTGACCTGATTGTTAAGTAATAGAATATCATTCTCTCTTCGAAATGAAGTTTGTGGCAATTAGGGAAATGTGTAAAAATATTTACTTGTTGTACAAATGTGCAAGTATAGACCTAACTTGTGTTTGGTTATTTATGATGAACAGTTGTGCATGGAGCTGCAGTATTATAGGTGTATATGGTTTGAGGAGGTAGACAAGAGTTATGTAGGTACTGTGCATAATATGATTGGTTGATATAAGCATTTATTTTTTCATACCATGTGCAGCAGTACCTATGTGACCAGAAAAGCAAAATAAAAGGCAGCATATGGTAGAGTTAAATCTATTCATAGGACACCAATAAAAATATAAGCACATTTAAGAGCAAAGTGTGAAACATGCAATGTCATTTATTTTCAAACTTAGTGCTTCATATGTCAATAGTAATTTAATTGTTTAAGAAGGCACTTATCATACATTTTAAAAGTATCTGTTTTGAAATTTTTAAAATATAACTATATGTAACTTGTATCTTTTTTTATTTCTGAAAATAATTATTTTTTCTTTTCTTTTCTTCCTGATAAGGGTTTACTTGTGCATGCCATTTCATTAACAAAAAACTATCCTCCAATTTTGAATCTTTTCCTGAGAATTACTAGCCAAAGGATAATGGATAATAACCATAAGAAGTTCTGAGAAAGTAGACATTTTTTTATCACATCCTGCAATTGGCACCTTACAAAAACTTGTGAAATTCAATATGCCTAATGCAGAACGTGTGTCTTCAACAGGTGTTACATTCCCAGGATTTTCAAGAATGTATTAAAAACGTTTAAAAAAAATGAGGTTTAATTTTATTAAATTTTCAAATTTAAATTACTTAAATGTTGGGTAATATTCTGTCAAAGTAAGGAATGTGAAATTGTTACATTGTGTTGGTGTGAGTGGAAAGGGGGTCAAACAATATGCTGTTTTTGCAAAGATTTTATGAATAGATAGCCAAGTACTTTAAATAGTAGATTCTGAGATAAATGGACTGGATATAATAACAGGAACCAACACTTTCACTCATTGGTATCTAGCAGAATTGGATGTATGGTCACGCACATTCACAACTGTGTTTCTCTCTCTCTTTCTTTCTTTCTTTTTTCCTCTCTCTCTCTCTTTTTTTCTCTCTTTTTCTCTCTCTGATAATCCACTCATCATTTTATTTTTATATTGTGAATATGATATTTAAGGTGAATGAAATATAATAATTTTAGTATTTCTATCGCAATTAAGTTTGTTCAAATTATTTAAATAAATCATATTTGACATTTTAAATATTATTCGCTCACAAAATGAAATAAACATGAAAACACAAAAAAGTAAATACTGAAAGAGGAAAATACAAATATACCTTCAGAAATCAAAAATAATTTAGTTACAGAAGAAATGTTCTTTATTGTTTTTATTATAATTTACAATTAAGTATATTTCCAAATTGTTTTCTAAGAAACTATAATAATAATTATATTATAATTTTATATAATATTATTGAGTCATATGTACAATTACAATCGTGTATGACCAGTCAATATGATATCTTGGGTGGAAAGATCAAAGTTGCATTACTGTTCAGGAGCGAAATCAGGGACTATCACAGCATTTACTCAAGGTACCAGGGAAACTGAACAAAAATCCGGATTGAGCCTAGCCTGATCATTGGCCTAGGAATTATACTAAAATACTTGCTACAGATATATTAGGATATTATACAGTAGATAATTATTTTTAGTAGCAAATAATTTAACATTTAAGGTTTGTTCAGTTTCTTGTTTAAAGTAAAATTTACTTGTTATTGTCATTGTATTGCTACTACTTAAAATAATAATAATATTAAAACAATACATGATATCAGTTCTGGTAGCAACTGCATAAAATTTAACAATGTTAGTACATTCTATGTTTAAAACTTGAAATGGTGAGGAGGCAGGTTTTAACCATATTTTTTTTCGTTCTATTTGTACACCCAGTCCTACTACAGCACCTAATGCATCTAGCAAATCCAGAGAGAAACAGAAATTTTTGTCAGGCAATCTCCTTCTACTTCGCAGGATGTGATATTCTAGTTCCTTCTTCTTTACTTCAGCTCGAAACAGTTAACATGAAACAGATAGTCAAATGGGATAAAACATTTTTATTTATTTATATTTTTTAAGGGAAGTATTGTTGTGATTTGAGTATTCCTTTACACTGTAGAATGTGTTGTTAAGAAGGAAAGCTTTCAATTTACTTTTAAATGTATGAATTGTGTTTATGTCTTTAATATCATCACCTAGTTTGTTGTAAAGTGTAATGTCCTCTATTAAGGTACTTTTTTGATATAGTATAGTTTCAGAGTGTGGAACATGTTGGCTCTCCTTTTGATGAGTGTTGTAGTTGTGTACATCAGAATTTAGAGTGAATATGTCTTTGTTTTCCATGAGAATCTTATTTGTGAAGACCACTATTTCAAATATATACATATATGGTAGAGGAAGAATCCTAGTTTATTGAACAATGGTTTGCAAGACTCCAGCTTATGAGTGCTGGTCATTGTTCGCAGTATTATTTTTTGGATAATGAATGTGTGGGTGAGGGTGTATAGGAATAGCAAGATTTGGTGAGCGTCTTGTTAAGATTTGAGATATGAGCATTCCTTTTTAGGTTTTCATGAATTGGAAGACTGAAGAAGGTAGTTTCATGAGATATCATTACAGGGTTATTACTTATGAGCGAATACTGTGAGGGTTTTCGTTAGATCAGGGGTTCATGAAATTTAGAGAGACTGTCTTGCTGGCGTTTATGATGTGTTTGTTGTCTTGAAACCATTTTACTAGCGCTTGCAAAGTTTTGCGAGTTCCTTTTTCTAATGATTGTTGTGTGTTTGCTTTGATGATTGTTTGTGTTATCTGCAAACAAAATTATTTTGTTATTCCTTAAAGCCAAAGGCATGTCATTTACCTATATAAGGAAT